GCGGAGTTATATACGCCTCTCAGAATCTTCCCCAGCTCACGCCCCCCAGGGAGCTATGGTTCTCTCTCCAGAGGGCCTTTCCCCACCAGTCAGGGAGCTGTACCAGAGGCTGGAGCAGTTTATGGAGCGACACGTGTATCCTGCTGAGCCCGAGCTGCGGAGTCACCAGGCCTCGGCGCAGAGATGGACCCCTTCCCCACTGGTCGAAGAGCTCAAGGTAAAGCGGCCCGTTCAGAGAATCGGTGAGACCTCATCAAGGTGGTAGAACCTCAGTCGCCCCGGGCACACCTGTTCCCTCCAGGTACTGAAGAGAAAGGCGAGCTGAGCTGAATTACCTTTGCTCTGCACTCTCACTGGGAATTCCTTGTTGTGGTTTATCTCCTGGGGCAGGTGGGCTCATTATGCGCATTTGAATTATGTAAATTTGGAACAGTGTGATATTAAACACATCAGTTAATAAATCTCTCTCTAAAGAACCCATAATGGCAAAGCTAAAGGGCCACGTCAGTTGTAAACTGTGCTGTTGTTGCCCGACAATACCACTTTAGTTCTTGTCACGGTCAATCTTAGCTTATCTTAGTTTTTAAGTTATTTGAGGTCTTCAGGAGCACATAGTTTGCCTATAGTACATCCATCGCCTACTTTATTTTATTTATTTTTAAAAAGATTTTATTGGGGAATTGGGGGAGGGGAACAGCATTGGGGAATTGGGGAAGGGGAACAGACAGGATGCTGTCCTTTTGTTCTTCAGTCCAGTTGTGGAGGACGTGGCTTCACTGGCCCATGTTGGTATTGTGACCATTGCGCTCTTTCTGGGTGAGGCAGATTGGTCGCCAGCCATTGGACGGCAGCTCACGGAGGCTCATGGCAGCTCACACCAGCTGCCAGCCACTCACAGTAGCTCATGGCAGCCCCCTGCAGCCCCGCTGCAGCCTACAGCAGCGCCAGCAACTCATGGCAGCTCAGCTCCAGGTCCAGCTGTTGTTCACCATCTTAGCTGTAGAGAGCACAGCATCACTGGCCCTCATGCGGGATCAGAACCGGGGCTCTGATGCCCGGAGCTGGCGTCCCAAGCCAACTCTTAACCAATGCGCCACATGGCTGGCCCCCAACCAATCTCCTACTTTTAAAAAAAGTAGCATCATCACTTTTTTCTAGTTAAAAGCCAATTGCAAAAAAAAATAAAATAAAATTACAAAATTAACCAAAGCTCAAACGTGACAAAAGTACGTAAGAAAGAGTTCTCTAAAATTCTCTACCCTTTGAGATCACCACTGTCAACAATTTGATTATTAGGCTGC